ACCGGAGGCACATTTAAAGATAGTCCACACATGGTCTGGGAACGTTCTGTTTTGTTGTGACTATTTTTACATTTGTGTGCGCGTCATGTTTGACTACGTCTTATTTTCCATCGAAACTCTGCCTGTAGGGGGAGCGCGCCCGACCTAACCGTACCGTGGGCGCGTAGACATGGATTCGCGATCCATGGATGATCACCACCCACCAAACCACCCCAACCCAACCCGAAGGCTCAGATTTACCCTCGATTTCTAGTGGGGGGGGGTCGGGAAACATCGAAAAAACACGAGTGGACCCCCTACCCCCCCAACCCGAAATTCGGGTCTTCGGGTTGGGTTGGGGTGGTCTGGTAGGTAGTCAGATGAGGCGCGCGGTCGCCAAGTCCATGGATGGGGGCAGGTGCCCTTTCCGGAATGCGGCCGGTGCCGCCTCGCTCGGCGGCGGAAGCCGCGATGTCCCGTCGAAGCGGGGCCCGTCGCCAGTCCACGCCCCCTTGATCCATGCTTGCGAGCGCCTGACGCAAGAAACCTTCCACGAGAAACCCGACCCTGACATCCCAGGGCGTCCATGGGTTTTTGGTGCGGAAGCGTCACGCTTTCCATCGCAAGATCATCGAAACCCAAGAAGCCCAGGGCACCCTGGAGGCGAGCAGGCTGTCTCTTGGCATGTGCCCACACTGAATGTAGTAGGAGGGGGAGGGGGAGAGCTTGGGAAAAGGCCGAAGGGAACAGAGAGAGGGACATCCTATCCCCCGCTCCTGCTGCCCCCTTGATCCATGTCTGCGATCGCCTGACCGTAGGCCCCGGCACCTCGAGGCTGGGCCCAGCACGCCCCTCCCCCCGCAGGCCCCCCCCCCCCTCTGGCGCGGCCGACCCCCAAGGCAGTGCCGACGGGGGTCACCACTCAGGCGAGGAGGAGGAGAAGGAGGAGGAGGACGAGGAGGAGGAGGAGGAGGAGGAGGAGGAGGGGAGGAGGAGGAGGAGGAGGAGGAGGAGGACAAGGATCAGGAGGGGGGGGGTCATCGTTTTGAACGCCGTTACAAACAGAATCCGATTGAAAGCCGGTACAATAGGAATTATATGGAAAGCCGCTGCCAAAGGAATTCGATTGAACACCGTTGCAGAAGGAATCCTTTCGTAATGGTTTTCAATAAGATTATTTTCCAGCGGCTTTCGATCGGATTCCTGTTATTCCGTTCGTAACGGCTTGCAGTTGGATTTCTTGCGCAACGGTGCTCAATTGGATTATTGCTGCAGCGGTTTTGAATAGGATTCTTTTGCATGGGCTTTCAATAGGGTTGCTTTGTAACGGCTTGCAATCGGATCCCTTATGTAACGGCGTTCCATGGGACTCCTTTTGTACCAGCTTCCAGTCTGATTCCTTTTTAACAGCTTTCAATAATATTCCTGTTGCGACAACTTTCAATCGAATTCCTGATGTAACGCCCTTCAATCGGATTCCTTTTTTTGCAAAAGGCTTTCAATCGAATTCCTTATGTTAAAAGGGTTTTCAATAGGATTCCTTTTGTAACGGGCTTCCATGGGATTGATTCCTTTCGTGGCGGCCTTTTGTAGGATTCCTTGTGTACTTGCTTTTTTCATGCCGATTCCTAGCGCCGCAGGTTTACATGAGGGGCTTCGTTGTCACCGTAGTTGAATGGGATCCCCTGCTAGGGCGAATGCGATCGGATCGCCACTTTGCATGGACTGTGGATTTGGACCTTGTCGGGGTTTCGCGAGGATCTCGCTCGCCATCTCATGTGATTTGGACCATCATGAAAATGCCCAGGCAGTTCTGAACATCGCTGCAATACTTGCGGCCTGCCTGGCAAATCCAGGAGGATTCTTGCGATGAGGAGTCCAGATCGGATTCCTAGCGCCGAGCAATGGAATTGCACAGCCGATGTCAACGTGATGCAATGGAAGTGGCAGCGCAATTCCAATGCTGTGCGGGGTGCTGATGAGATACCAGCGCAATGCCAATGCAATGTGGCAGAAATGGAGCACTTGTGCCGCTGCAGCGCAAACGCGGTTACATGGCAATGCCAGTGAGACAGCACAGCGCAATGCACATGCGATGACAATGGCAACGCGACGGCTCAGACATTCGAGCGCAATTCTACCGCAATACCGCAAGGCACCGCTGCGCCAAACCTATGACGAGTTTACGATACCGCCACGCCAACGCAGTCCCAGCGCAATGCTACCACAGCGCTGACGCATTGCGAGTTCCACGCAAGCGCAGTGGCATCGCGATGCCATTGCAGCGCCAACGGAACGCGCCCGCAATGCGTTTACAATGCGAAGGCCCATGCCGCTGCTGATCCAACGCGAGCAGAATTCCAACGCTCGGCCCAACCAGCGCCAACTGAGCGCCAATGCGTTGCCGATAGACTGCTGATGCCAATGAATTTCCAATGTAAGTCCGATGGTATTCACCCACGCAATATCCGCGCAGTGGCGTCACAAGGTCAAATCAATGTCTGCGTAATGCCAACGCAAACTGCATTACCAATGCCGTGCCAGCTCAATTCCATCGCGCATCAACACCAGCGAACTGCAAACGCTTTGGCTCGCCCTTCTACCCAATCCAATGCAAGTGCAATGGCAGAGCAATCGCAATGCCAGGTTAATCTGGCGCCCAAGAAATTCCTCTGCGCTGCGAATGCGGTGGCAGCGCGGTGCCAACGCACAGCTCATGCAATGCCAGATGGCGTAAGCGCAGAGCCACCGCCGGCCCAACGCACTGTCAACGCGCAGCCAATGCAACGCCAACGCGCTGCCAACGCAATGCCAGCGCAGCAGACGCGACGTCGGCGCGATTGCCAGCGCAGTGCCAGCGCAACTCGGACGCCATGCCGACGCGACGAGAATGCGACGCCATTGCGGGGCAACGGTGACGACAACGCAAGCTGGCCGAGAGGCGATTGAAGTGCGCGCGCAGCCACAACGGCAGGTGCCAATAGAATGGTTTACTCCATAGTCAAGCGCCGCTGCACTGCAGCGCAATCTACATGGGGCACAATTCTATCACCGTGCAGCATGCAAAAGGCAGAGCCACTGCCATTGCAGGACCAAGCCGCTGCAGTGTTAAAAGATGGGGTTGCACTGCGATTGGAATGCTCCTGCCGTGCAATGCGAACGCGATGGCAATGATGTGCGCGTTCGGTGCGAAGGCAACGGCGTTGCCATGTCAAGCCGGTCCAATTCGTGCCACTGGGGCTCTAGTGCGTTTTTAGCGCAACGCCCTTACACAACCACTTCGATGCCACTTCAATGGCGGCGCAGTGTATCTGCCATGGCATTGTAGTGCCATCATGGGGGCAAGTGCAATTCCACGGGGATGACATGCACTGCCGCCCCAAACGCCCTCCCACTGCGAACGCAATGCAAACGCACTGGCGACGCAGAGCCAACGCAGACGCGAAGGCGACGCCAATGAGGCGCACGTTGGCTGACACTGCCAACGCAATGCCAATGCACGGCCGACGGCGCTCGCCAGCGCGACGTGCCAGGTGCGTCGCAAGGCCAAATCAGTTTTAGCGCGATCACAGAGACATACCAACGACTACATGCAAACGGGTTCCCGGTGCGACCTCATTGCAAATGATGCACAAACGCGCTGCACATGCAGCGGCGCGCCCAAGTCAATGAAAGAGCGATGCCAGCGCGACCCCCAAATCAGATTAGCAGACGACATGAGCAATGCCATTACACTGCGATTGCAGTGCCGATACTGTGCACATGCAGTGCTAATGCTCTGATGCACGAATGCGTTACCAGCTGATGCATGGGTGGCGCCAGGGCCAGTCCCGCGCATCAGTGTCAACGCGAAACCCGATGAATGCCAGCGCAAGGCTAACGCAATGCCAGCGCAGCAAGCGCGATGGCAGTGCAAATGCCAGCGCGGTGCCAGCGCAATCCCGACGCAATGCTGGTGCGACGAGAGGAGGCGCCATTTCAGTTATCACATCGCACGCGCCACTCAATCGAAGCCAATGAGAGCGTGGACCTTGCGAACCCCCCGCTCAAGTTCCGCGGCGTAGTTGTTCCACGTTCGTTTCGCACTGGTGGATGTGTTACGGCTTTGGCAAAACACGCTGCACGTTGCTTCACGTTCCATTCGCTTCCGCTTTAGATCGTGGAGCAGCTGCCCAGCTAGTCCACCCTTTTCGGGGTCAGTAGGACACCGTGAGGAGCGGAATGCGTCCAATTTTCATTGGGTCGCAGGATTTTTTTTATCAGGTAGGAAGGCAGCACCTCCAAGATCCAGAATGTTGCAATCGGGTGGCAACCCGAGTGCGAAACGCATAAGACCGACACGTGCACCAGAGGAACCCGGTCGGATGCGAGTAGGGCCCTGGCGATATACATACCAATAACCGTCGAGCAGGCTCCACATGCAGAGGGGGCGAACTTGGCTTCAGTGCGTTCCAGTACGGATGGAAGGATGCCAGTTGAACTATCGCAAGCTTCCTTTTTGAATGTCGCCGACGCCAAACTTCAAATCTTTGAAACTTGGCATGCGCCACAAGAACATATAAATGGAAGCAACAATATTTATACGTGTGCAAAGAGAGAGAGAGAGAGAGAGAGAGAGAGAGTGATGGGGGAGAAAGAGAGAGAGACAGAGAGAAAGAAATAGAGAAACAACAAACAAGAAAATATAAATAATGAGAGAGAGGAGAGAGAGAGAGAGAGAGAGAGAGAGAGAGATAGAGAGAGAGAGAGACAGAGCGATAGGAGACAGAGAAAGAGAGAGCAATGAAAGTAACAAAGAGGGAGGGAGGGAGGGAGGGAGGGAGAGAGAAAAAGAGACCCCCAAATAGTCCCACATGTCCCCTCCACGGGGGCCCAGGTCAAATCCAAGAAATCCGCACGGACCGCCAAACGTTTATGTTTACGCCGCCTCCCTTCTTACAAGAAATTCACGAGCGAAACCGAGAATGCACGTGGAATGGACGTCCGAGCGGCCGGGGGGGCGGTCCGGGTGGCGGGCCGAGGTCCGTCTACACCACCGCCAAGCACGAGGGCCTGGACTACATCTTCGCGCTGCTGATGGGCTACCGCGACCCGCCCGCGGGGACCGGGCCCGCCCCCCTTCCCCCAGGTTCGGGGGAGCGTAAGACCCGGGTTTGCCAGGACTCGGGTTCGCCATCGTTTTTTGACGACCGCGCCTCGGATTTTGACGAGGAGGAGTTTCGTGGGATGTCTGCAGCGGGAGGCCTCGTCAAAATGCAGGCTCGGCCTCGTCATTTTTTTGACGACCTCGTCGGGGATTTCCGAGTCCCCCGTACCCGGGTCTTACGTCTCCCCGACAGGTGGGGGGCAGCGTTCGGGAGGGTATGGGCTCAGGGGGGGGGGACGCATCGACCCCCAATCGCCCACTCCTCGCGGACAAGGGCCCGATGGCCGACCCCGTCCAGGAACGTGCGGGGGTCTCTCGGCGGTGCATCGGCGACGCGATGCCGAGTCCAGGTCGGATCGTTGCCCCTCACCAGGGCCCAGTATCTCGATCGATCGATCCGATGTTATCTGGCAAAACCAGTGCGGCCCGATTCTTGCATGGCGCCGTTTTGCATCCTGGCGCAGCCGATCCGATTCGTTTTCGACGCCGTGCCGATGCGTCCCGATCTGGCACGCATTCCGACGAGTCGGAACGGTTTCCCGATTCGATGCTGCTTGATCATGTTCCCCTCTTCGCTCCTGCTCGGGGAGGAGTAGGATGAGCAGGAGTAGGAGGAGGAGGAGAAGGAGAAAAAACATGGGGGGCAGGAGGAGGAGGAGGAGGAGGAGGAAGAAGAAGAAGAAGAAGAAGGCGGGGGGTGGGATGTGGGGCTGGGGGGGCAGAGCTGGGTGAGCGGGAGAGCTTCTACGCGGATGGGCGGAAGGAGGGGGGAGGCGGACGAGGGTATGTTCCTCCACCTGCTTCTCACCGTCGAGCACAATTGCCGTCACAGGCGTGCGTGACACCCGCGGTAGACGCCCTCGCGCGTTTGCGCGGGTTGGCGCCGCGCCGGATCGCGGGATCGCTGTGTCATGGCGGTGCGTAGTAGTGGAAGTGGAGGGGGCGAGTGTGGAGGGCGGGCGGGCGGGCGAGTGTGGAGGGGGTGGTTGGAAGTACGGTGGGGGCGCTCGGTAAGGAATGTGCCCTGGGGGTTTCAGACCCTGGAAGATGCCGTCTCCGGCGAGGGTGGCGGTGATGCCCATGGCCAAGCTTGTGTTGGTGTCCCAACGGCTTCCACACCCTGGATTCCTCAGTCCGGATTGCACAATGCCAGGAGGGAAAGAAACACACAGACACAAGTAATCGTCGATTCCCAGAAATATGGGAAAATATGGGAAGTGGGGGGGAAGACAAAAACCCACAACATATGGGGAAATATGGGGAATGTTTTTATTTGTGTGTATTTCTTTGTGTGTCCTGGGGCCCCCTTCACAATAAAAGGGGGAGGGGTGATTTGGGGGGGGGTGCTTGGAGCTGTCTTGGAGAACTCCGCGGGGTCTGGACAGAAGGCCGCCCCTTCGTGGCTGGTCTGGGGGGGGGTCAACTGCTCGTCTGGGAGGGCTGTGGCCCCCTCCCTTGCATGACAACATTTGGAGTACAGTCGGGGCCCTGAAGAAGGAACCCTTTTGGTTGGGGAGGGGCTCTGCGTTCCTTAAGTGTTTCACAGCAGCTTGCCTCAGGTTTTCCTTAAGTGTTTGGATCGGGAATCGATGTTTAACTTATGGAAAAAAAGGGGCCTCGTTCCTTATTTAGGGTTCCTTAGGTCAACGCCCCGACTGTATCCAGTGGTTCCTTCTCCAGTGCCCTCGCCCTTGAGGGGGGCTGCGTCTCTGTGGAGGAGGCGAGTGGGTCCGAGGGGGACAGGCGATGAGGGGAGCAGGAGGTGCGGGGGCGAGGGGGAGGAGGCGAGGGGGCGAGGGGCAAGCTAGGTGCGCTCGCGTCATATCTGACGTCCTACCCCTCCCTCCCATCCCTTACCATGGCGCTGATTTTCTCTATCCGCGGACGCGTGTCGCAGCGGACCTGTGGCTCCGCGCGCGCGTGCGTAACTAGTGGGTGGTGGTGCGCGTGCGTGCGTGCGTGCGTGTGTGCGTGGTTGTGGTGGTGGTGCTGGTGCTGGTGCTGGTGCTGGTGCTGGTGCTGGTGCTGGTGCTGGTGCTGGTGCTGGTGCTGGTGCTGTGCTGGTGCTGGTGCTGGTGCTGGTGCTGGTGCTGGTGCTGGTGCTGGTGCTGGTGCTGGTGCTGGTGCTGGTGCTGGTGCTGGTGCTGGTGCTGGTGCTGGTGGTGGTGGTGGTGGTGGTGCGGCGCGGTGGTGGCGGGCGGATGGGCGCGCGAGAAAGAGGCCCGCGCTGGGGCGAGAACGCCATCCTGAACGACGGAGGCCAAACACCGATCCGAAAATGAGGCCCACGCTGCAGCGGGAGCACGATTCGGAACGATTCGGGAGCAGAAATGAGGCCGGCGCCTCAGCGAGAGCAGCATTTTAGAAAAAAACACAAGCGAAAACCCAACTCCGGGGAATCCTGTGTGTAAAAAAACAGTACGCGGGGGGGTGCCGAATATCTTCCGGACGCCATCAGGGGAAGTGGGAGAGTATTTTCATATTGTGTAATTGTAGAGAGGGGGAGAGGCGAGGGGGGCGAGGGGGGTCTCGCGCAAGACCCGCTTTTGACTATCCGCCCAGCTCGTCTTTCACAGGGGCGCATGGCACTCGGGCTGCACGTGAAGAACATGAGTCCTGGAACCCAGAGTGCGAAGCATGTGCCGCCAGCGTGCCGTGCCACGCCTGCGTGCCGTGCTGTGCCTGGGCTCTATCGTGCGGAGCACGTGTCGTGCCGCCACGACCACCGAGGTCGCCGAGCGGCACCCGCCGCCCGCCGTGCGCCATCCTTCCAGGGGCCAGAGCCACAACCCGACCTGCCCTCAACGCCACGACTGTGGGTCAGCTCATCAACGCGCCGACCACTGGCCACCACAGCGCGCTGCCGCTGACATACCCGGCGATCGTTGAAAGTATGTATTTTTGGATTCCCAGATTCCAATATACTTTAAGCGCCGTCCTACTTCAATGATCCAGTGGCTTCACCTTTTCCGTCCTCCCAAGGGGGCGGACGGAACCCAATCTATTTTCAGAACATATTATCCCGGCAAAGCAACCTAACAGCGATGTGTAGGAGCATATCTGGAAGCATTCCCCTTAAGATTCAGATGAGAATCCAATTGTAGAATTCTGCTGTTCTCGCAGTCGTAGTCGCATTCGCGATGACAGTCGCAGTGGCAACGGCAGTCGCAGTCACAGCCTCAGCCTCAGCCTGCCTCAGCCTCAGCCTCAGCCTGCCTCAGCCTCAGCCTGCCTCAGCCTCAGCCTCAGCCTCAGCCTCAGCCTCAGCCTCAGCCTCAGCCTGCCTCAGCATCAGCCTGCCTCAGCCTCAGCCTCAGCCTGCCTCAGCCTCAGCCTCAGCCTCAGCCTCAGCCTCAGTCTGCCTTCAGCCTCAGCCTCAGCCTGCCTCAGCCTCAGCCTGCATCAGCCTCAGCCTCAGCCTCAGCCTGCCTCAGCATCAGCCTGCCTCAGCCTCAGCCTCAGCCTGCCTCAGCCTCAGCCTCAGCCTGCTTCAGCCTCAGCCTCAGTCCCTTCAGCCTCGGCCTCAGCCTCAGCCTGCCTCAGCCTCAGCATCAGCCTGCCTCAGCATTCAAAATGTGGCCCGGGAATGGAGCTCTTGGAAAGAAGTGGCCTACAGTTGGCTCCAGGCATTCAAAATCATGCCCAGGAATAGAGTTCTGGGAACTCGAAGACCACGAAGTGGCCTACGGTTGGCTCCGGGCATTCAAAATCATGCCCAGGAATGGAGTTCTGGGAACTCGAAGACCACGAAGTGGCCTACGGTTGGCTCCGGGCATTCAAAATCATGCCCAGGTATGGAGTTCTGGGAACTCGAAGAACACGAAGTGGCCTACAGTTGGCTCCGGGCATTCAAAATCATGCCCAGGAATGGAGTTCTAGGAACTCGAAGACCACGAAGTGCGTTACTGTTGGCTAAAAAAAAAGTCCCTGGCATCCTCCCCCGGATGGCGCCCAGACCCCCTTGGGGCGTCAAGATGCTTTCTTTTGACCCTACTAGAGACCTATCAGTCTTCGCTGTTAGGTAATATCAAAACAAGGACTGCGACAGACTGGAATAGCAATCGATGGGGTTGCGGTCTCTATCCCCAGAAGGGGGATGATGAAGAGGAGAACGAGGAAGAGGAGATGAACGAGGAGGATGAAGAGGAGCCAGATATGATGAGTTCGATCCCGATGGCGACGATGATGGTGGTGGTAATGGATGGTGATGATAATGGTGATGATAATGATGATATGATGATGATGATGATGATGATGATGATGATGATGATGGTGGTGGTGGTGATGATGATGATGATCATGATGATGATGATGATGATGAGGATGAGGATGATGAGGATGAGGATGAGGATGAGGATGAGGATGAGGATGAGGATGAGGATGAGGATGAGGATGAGGATGATGATGAGGATGAGGATGAAGATGAGGATGAGGATGAGGATGATGAGGATGATGATGATGATGATGATGATGCATGTGCTGGTGATGGTGATGATGATGCTGATGGTGAAGATGACGGTGGCTTGAGGGAGGAGGAGAAGGAGGAGGAGGAGAAAGAGGAGACGCGAGGGAGGAGGAGGAGGAGGAATGACTCATCGCAGACCTTCCTCCCTCCTCCTCGAGGAGGGGGGGGGGGAGAAGAGAGCGCGGGAGGAAGGAAGAAAGGCGAGGGGGAGGAGGAGGAGTGACTCATCAAATGGCCCCTTCAGGCAGGGAGGAATCTGGAGAGAGGAGAACGCGGACGGGAGGGAGGAAGGCCGGGTTGAAATCGCGAACGACGGCGAAAACGCTTGCTTGATAAGACATCGAATAATAAATGATTTTGAAAAACATCTAGGAAGAGAGTGAAGGGCAAGTTTCTCCTGGAATCATAATGTTTTGTAGAAACAGTTGTTTTATTTGTTTTGTTTTGTTGATCTGTTTGTGCTTGATGGTTTCTGTGTTTTATGTTTTGTTTTCCCCGCGGCCGCGTTGATTTCGAAAGCGCTCGATGAGAAAAGGGAGGATGAGGACGACGACGACGAGCGAATAATCAGTCCGAGTGAAGGTTCTTTGGCTTTGGTGGCATGGGGATGCGGGGGGGTATATATATACGTGTTTACACAAATCTATACATAGACACATACACACGCATATACATATACATATATATATATATATGTACACGCGTCTATATATATATATATCTTTATATATATATATATATTGTCGCTCTCCTCGCTTGCCGCCTCGTTCCCTGCATCTCCCGCCCTCCCTCCTTCTCTTCCTCCCTTCTCGTCCCTGCCTCTTCGTTGCCCACCCCCTCCCTCGCTGCTACTGCTTCTCCTCCTCCACTTCTGTTTGCCTCCGGCGCTGACGCTGGCGAGTTGGTGGTCGGTCGGATCCGACATGTCTCTGCCCGCCTCCTCCTTCTCATCCTCCATTCCCCTCTGGGAGATTTTTGGGATCCTATAGATTTGGGGTCTCTCCTCCTTATCCTCATGTTCCTATATTTATGGGGTCATCCGAATCTCCTTATGACGGGAGCCACTTGTCTGGGAGGGAAGATTCATCAGAGGCCAGTTGTTTATGGCGATTCTAGGGCACAGCGTATGCCTCAACCGGTCCGTTGATCATCCAAGCGTACATGGGGACTCAAAGAAAGAAGCATACACAGACTTCCCCTTCTCCCCTCCTATCATTGTCCTCCACCTCGCCATTCTTCCCCGAGGATTGAGGATACAATGTTTTGGGCGTGTGTATTTCCGGGACCGTCGTTGACATCCTCCTCATGCTCCTCCTCCCGCTCCTCCTCCCCCCTCGCCGACTTGGTCGTCGTGGTGGTCGTCTTCGCCCTTATCTCTCCCGCCCCCCCCATCCCTTAATCTCTTCCTCACCCCTCTGCCTCATGCAGGATCCCTTGCCGTGACGGGCTGTACTACAACATCTACTACCCCGGAGGCCCGCGGGAGCCGCGGCACCGTGCCAGTGGGCGGGGATCGCTTGCAAAACTGGCAGGGCGGCGGTCAGCTTGAATTCAGCGCTTACAAAAATGGTATCGGGGGTGGACAGACCTCCTACCCTGACACGTCGATTAAGGAATTGGCCGTTTTCGGTTCTCCAGAGGGCGCCGCGGCCGTCATTTTCCAGGCTTGCGCCCGCCAGGTTTGTGCCCGAGGTCGTTTTCACTGAACCACGTTTTACTAAAGGGGGGTCTGTCCATCCCTGGTGGTAGTCAAAGCTGACCAGAGTGATGACCCCTATGTCAAACTGATGGGCGCGGGCGAAATTCGTATCCGTATCCGCGGCCTCGCGGGCTGGGCCCTTGTGCCGCGACCCTGTGGATATTGGGGCGTGTTTAGCGGATGCCCCGCGTGGAGCGTATCCGTGCGACCGCGCATCTGCGAGATCGCGCCCCCGAATCCAGACCGCGAGGTCGTGGATATGGATACGTGCGCCGCTCGAAAGATAGGGCGATGGCCAGCTCAAGCTCAACGCTTGCAGAAAACAATCCGCTCCTCCTACGCATACAGCTGCGCTGCCGCGCGCAGCCGCCACACCTCGCGTTGTGGGGCGGCACCCACGAGCGTCGCCACTTGTCAGCATTTCTTTGGTCCACTTGGAGGACGCACTTTTTTATCAGTGCAAACCATCAGTTCACCAATCCTCTGGTCTGTATTCGTCAGCAGAAACATGTGCCGAAAGTGATCCAGTCTTGGTCGTGCCACGGGCCAGACGGAGGACGCACGTATCTTGGACTCTGGGCGGACTTTGGGGTCCGCAGCGCTAGCGGTCGCCCACGCGTTCGAGAGCCGGCGGGGCGCGTCGCGCTATTGGCACAGTAAGACAGGCGAAGAAGATCAGGGATGCCGCAGAGGAGGAACGGACAGGGGGAGGCCTTCATCGCGCAGGCGGCTTCAGGAGGAACAGAAAGGGGGAGGCCGCAGAGGAGGAACAGAAAAAGGGGGAGGCCTCAATCGCGCAGGCCGCCTCAGGCACCGGACAGCGGTGTACTCGGGGCAGACAAGTGACTCACGCTAGCTTCGATGCGGTGTGCGCGTGTGTGCGTGTGCTTGTGTGTGTGTGGCGGGGGGGGGGTAAGAGGTTGTTGGGGTGATGACCAGCCAACTCCGACCCTCACAAAGCGGCCTCTTCACAAAGGCGTTCTTGTTGTGCTGAGCCGCGAAACGGTCGGACACGAAACCGCAGGCGGAGGTGGAGGCTGAGGTCAAGGTGGAGGCGAAATCGGAAGGCCGGGGCTCAGGCGAAGATGGTGACGGAGGCAGAGGTGGAGATGGAGGAGGGGAGAGGTGAGGGGGGAAGCAGCAGAAAGGAAGCATGAGAGGCTTAAGCGCAGTCGCAGAGTGGTGTTTGGGGGATCAGTAATGCTGCTCCTCCGAGTTTCGCAGAACCGCCCAAGGCCCCCAGGACCCCACCAAAACATCGGATCCCTCCCCCCCCAAAATTCCGAAGCCCATAACACGCCCGCCTCATGCCCCCCTTCCCCCTGCTGGGGTAAGGAGGCTGGCTCGCTGCATTGATGGAGAGGCGGAGGGTTTCGCATAGGGCGCTCCAGAAAGGTTCCCCAAGCTATGGTTTGGTTTGGCCCCTGCACCGTTCCAGTCTTGCTTGGCGTATTTCCCTTGCTCCCCTCCTCTTCGTCGTCGTCTTCCCCTTCCCTCCTCCTTGTAAAGCTGGTCTGGCACCGGGGTTGGCAGGCTGTGTGAGGCTGCGTGAGATCGGCTGCCAGACTTTGGTGTGATGCGGTGCTTATTGAACTCCCTGTCATTCCTTTCCCCCCCACCTCTCCGGAAACATGTGCTGAGAACTGCAGGGAGCATTGCCAAAAGGAATCAGCACGAGGAGAAGAAGGATCAGGAAGGTGAGGACGAGGAGGTGGATGCGCAGGCCGAGGATCAGAAGGGACTATAATGAGGAGGAGGAGGAGGAGGAGGAGGAGGAGGAGGAGGAGTTGGAGGATCTTGGGCAGAGCAATCGTGGAGGAGGAGGAGGAGGAGGAGGATAAGGAGGGAGGAGTCGAATTAGCAGTAGGAGTAACAGCAGGAGAAGCGGTAGCGGTACCAGTAGCCTTAGTAGTAGCGGTAGACGAAGCATTACGAGCAAAGGTCGGGGATAGGCGCGCGGCACGCTTCCCCCCTGCCCCAATGATTGGTTTTCCGTGGAGGCCCTCCGAGACCTCAAGACGTTGCATTTCCCGAGGGCCCTGCCAGACGTCCAGTCTGCTGCCCGGGCGGCGCGAGCCATAGTCGCTTGTTTCGAGAGCTCCCGGCACGGGGGGCCTCCAGATACAGGCCCGCGCCCGCCCCCACCTCCAGGTGAGCCGCGTGGCTGCGAGCCAGCAGCGAGCGGCACGTTTCTCGGAGCACGTCAAGCAGAACTTTCAACCTTCGGGACGCCACTTCTGAGCTTGCGGCGGCTGAGCGGATCGGGCGTACTGGGCCCTCTTTGTTTGATCCCGCGGAGCCGGCCGCGGAACAGCGGTTCCGCTTGCAGGCCAAAGCTGCGCGCATCCTCTGGGCCAAAGCTGCCCTCCCGCTGCCGCGCACGTCCGGGAGCGCGCGGACGGGTGGCAGCTCGGCCCTGTGCCCGGTGGCCGCCCGGCGCGGTGGATCTTCGTCCTCGCCCGCTCCTCGCCCTTCGCCCCCCCCCCCCCCCCGCCTCGCTCGGACGTGTGCATTTTTCCTTCGGCGAGGACCATCGAGGAGCATCCTTGATCATTTGGCGAAAAAACCACGCACGAAGCCGCAAAAAAACACAGGGAATGGACGCCCGAGCGATGGCCAGCCCCTGGCGTGCAGGCTTGCCAAAAAGCTGAACTGCCTGGAACGACTGGGTCACGGCGCGCCCGCTCTGGCCCAGCAGGCCGAGGTGTGCTCCGTTGCCCTGCGCGGGGAGCACGGCCTGCAGCACGACGCTCGCTGCATCGCCAAGGGCTCCCCCGAGGGCGCGAAGTTATTCGCGCTTCGCGGTCCTCGTTCCTCCTCCTCCTCCTCCTTGTCCTCCTTTTCTCCCTTTGGGGGGGTGGCGCGAGAGCGCGAAGTTATTCGCACTTCGCGCTTCGCGCAGCGCGAAGCGCGAAGTTGGGAGCCCTTGCATCGCGCTTCGCCCGCTCTGCCGCCCGTGCCTCGGGCTGAGCAAACCACCAGCTGGGCACTGCTTCGTGCGATCTCCTGGGCGCACTGGCCCATGCGCGCCGTCGCTCCCGGCACACTGCCAGGACCACCGCGCGACGGCTTCGGCGGCCGCCCACCGGGCGATTGGTGCGCACGCGCTGCGCACGACGCACGAGTCGTCTCACTGTGGATTCGGAGGTGGGCAGACCTCCTACCCTGACACGTCGATGAAGGAATGGGCCGTTTTCGGTTCGCGAGGGGGCGTCGCGGCCGTCATTTTTGCGGGTCCAGGTCCGTCGATTTCGGCCCTAGGTCGTTTTCATTAAGGGGAGCTTTACTACAGGGAGGTTTGTCCACCGCCGATGGATGTATACAGCCGGGCCGTGTTCTGGCCATTCTCACAGTCGCCTCAGTGCGGGTTTGTCCAGCTGGTCATGTGGGCCACCGGGGATTCGTACATGTTGTGGGGACGATCTTTCCCCACCTCCTCCTCCTCCTGGCCGCCTCCTGGGATTTGCACTTGCTCCTGTCTGCCGCAGGGAGGCAGAATTTGTCCGCCCTCTCCGGCGCTGGCAGTAGGCTGCAGGTCAATCGTGGGTGTACAGGCCTATCCTCGATTGGAGGCCAGTCCCCGCTTTGCCCGTCTCCGTGGCCCAAATGTCGGCCACGCTCGCAGGACTGCCCTGCAAGGGGCATGCTCTGTTGTCGGCGCGCTTGGTGAGGCTAGTGGCGTGGATCGTCGCTGTCCGCTCCCATCTTCTCCATCCAAAAGCATGTACAACGAGCAACGCTGTCGCGAAATCGTCGGTTGCAACGGCGAGCGGCAGCAGTAGCACCACTTGCAGCAGCAGGCAGCACAAACCATCAGCACCAGTAACACCGGTTGCAATTGCCAATTGCATCGGGACTAGGCGCAGACGTATTATGACAGAAGGAGCAGCAGGATCAGTACGTTTGCTCAGCATAGAAGAGGCCAGTGTAAGATGGGGGGTAACATGAGTTGGAGGAAGATGGCGGATGCGGAAGGGGATGGAGGATGGAGATGGGAGGATGAGAACAAGGAGGGATTAGAGAGGAGAAAGGGACAGCGGAAGAAACATATGGGGGAAACCAGACAGTTCTGGAGCACCATGGAACATTGCATTCCTTTTTTGTGCGAGCACCATGCGGTGTTTGCGTTTTTCTTTCGGCACGGGCTTTCGTCGACCCGCCACTCACCGCATGTATTATGCGCGCGCTCTGCCATTGTTCTTAGCTGCTGTCCGCCATGCAGTCAGGTACCTACGCACGCATGTCTTCTATCCGCCGACATCGCTTACTTTTTTATATGGCGTCATTCAGGCATGTCTGAGCGCGGAACCTCCTGTTACTGGTCCTCCTTTGACTCTCTCTCTGCGAGTGGCGGGAGTCTCTGCCGCCGACGCCGAAGGCCTCATCGCCATGCCTCCCCCGATCCACGCCGATGGCCTCGTGGACTATGAGGACGGCACGCCCGCGACCAAGTCCCAGATGTGCAAGGACCGGGGGACAGGTTCACTGAAGGGATGCACTGCGGTCAGAGAAGGACAAGGTACCTATACCTCTACCCTTCGCTCGTTTTCCCCTTTTTGGGCCTCTTGGGCGGCCCTCGTCGCCACCGCTGGATTCGCCTCGAAATTCTGGTGGGAACGTACCCCAGGAGAGGTCCGGGGAGTAGCGGTATTGGTACCTTTCGGTTTCCCCATGCGGTGGGCGGCTACAAGCTGGATGCAGATGACGTGGCCAGCATGGGCGAGAACTGCATTCACATGAGCAGCGTTCGGCCACCGCGCGGGCTGCTATGTCTGCGAGCGCGTGCACTTCGCATGTGTCGCACGTGAGTGCTTTGAGCTTCCTGGCAGAGATTGCAGGTAGTTGTCAGAAGAGGGCGAGGGTTGCAAATGCCACTTGCTACGTCCGTACCTGGCCAGACTCTCCACTGGGAGCAAAGGTTTGGCGGATTGATCGGTGAGGTCTGAAGACATCATTGAATAATCACTATTCTTTGGGTCGTCTACCTTGGGGCTTCTTGGCAACAGCGGATGTCAGGGCGCGATGCCGGCCGTCGATTTGGGTGACGGGTCCACGGCGGTCGCGAACACGGCCGATTGCAAACAGCGGGTCGTCACTGAGGCGGACCTTCGAACACGTGTCGGTAGGTGATCCATGTTTCTGGAAGGCTGCCCATGCCAGACCAGAGGGCTCCTGGGGCGTCCCTTCCCTCCTCTTCCCCAGCTGCCTCTCTAGCCAGTCTTTCCCCTCCGTGCCACGCCCGTCGGCTTGCAGCCGGAGCTGCGCGATCTGTTCTGAGATCGGGGGAGCGTAAGACCCGGGTTTGCCGGGACTCGGGTTCGCCATCGTTTTTTGACGACCGCGACTCGGATTTTGACGAGGAGGAGTTTCGTGGGATGTCTGCAGCGGGAGGCCTCGTCAAAATGCAGGCTCGGCCTCGTCATTTTTTTGACGACCTCGTCGGGGATTTCCGAGTCCCCCGTACCCGGGTCTTACGTCTCCCCGATGAGAGCTGGCTTCTGGGAAGGCCCTCGCGGGCAGGTCCCCGGGCTTGCGGCAGCTCGCAAGCCTGGCCCTCCTGCTTCCCACGCGGTGCCTCGGCTGCCACCCTGGCGGCGGGGACGAGGCCGATGCCGAGGAACAAGGGTGCGGACATGTGGGGAACGAGGAGGAGGAGGAGGAGGAGGAGGAGGAGGAGGAGGAGGTGGACGGCTGCGTCCAACTGGACATCGAGCCGATAGCGATAGCGATAGGAGGAGGAGGAGGAGGAGGAGGAGGAGGGGGAAGAGGAGGGGGAGGAGGGATGTGGAGGAGGAGGAGGAGGAGGAGGAGGAGGAGGAGGAGGGATGTGGACGAGGAGGAGGAGGAGGAAGCGGAAAGCTGCGATGAGGATGAGAAGGGGGGGACAGCATGTGATCAGGAGGATCGAGAAGGAGGAGAAGGAAGCGGAGAGTTGGGATGAGGATGACGAGGAGGGGGAGGAAAATACGTGATGATGAGGATGGAGGTGGAGGAGGAGGAGGAGGAGGACCCTCCTTCTTGCTCCTTCCCTTGCCACTCTGTCACTCTTCCTTCCTCCCGCCTCCCTCCCTCCCTCCCTACTCCCACCTCCCTTCTCCCATCTGCCGTCCTCCCTCCTCCCTCGCTCCTCCCACCTCAACTCTTCTCGCATCCCTCGTCACTCTCGTGTCGTTTTCTCTTCTCTCTCCTCCCTCTCCAGCCCTCTTTTCCCCCAGCCTGCCTCATTCCTTCTGTTGCCCAGGGCGAGGACTCAGACGAGGAACAGTGGCAGGACACTGACGAGGAGGAGAAAGGGGGAGGCAGGAGGACGAGGAGTAGGAGAAGGAATATGCAGGGGCTGGACGAGACATGTCCTGTCCACGTTCCGTGCCGTGCATTGCCGTGCCGTGCAAGGTTGTGTTTCTGTGCCGTGGTTTTCCCGTGCTCTTCGCATCCTCCGGCACCGCTGATTCAAAGCACGTCTTCAGAGACGATCCGTATCAGCTCGGGTCACGTTGAGTTTTTTCGTGCGTTCCTGAGTAGGTCGCCCTCTCGTCGGTCCGTGTTGCGTGGCGTTCCATGCCGGTCTGTGCTTGAATGTGCTGTTTTTGAGCTGAACGTTTCCGTACCTTCCGTTGTGTTTTGGTGTCCGTATTGTCTGCTGTGAGCCCGCGTTTATTGGCAGTGCCCCAAGAGCGTAAGGGAGCGCAGGCATCTAAAACCACGCAAGTGTGAAACGCGCACGCGCACGCACACTTTTTCCCTCAAGCGGCCGATTGACGTGATGGCAGCGACAGTCTCAGGCGGGCCATGCTCAGCGTTACCTCCTGCTGGCGTCGCAGCTGGGTGGCCAGCGCAGGGCGAGCCGAGGTGCAGAAATTTCGTGGTGGCTGCGCTAGGCGAGCGCAAGACCCGCATCCGCACAGCAGCCGACCCGCCAGCAACTACGAGGGGAGTGCGGGCTCGACATTGTCGGGGCTTTCGCTCGCCCCGCCGCCCCACCGCTGCGAGGGGCCCGCAGGCTGCGAGCGACGGAGACTGAGATCGCCTGCGCTCCCGTGACAGGCGCCCCCGCTGCATCGACGTGTCTTGTCTTGTCACGCCGTGTCGGCTAGCGGCGCGGTGCCGTGTCTGGTCGTGACGTGCCGGTTTGGCGCGCGGTGCCGCGCCCAGCCGTGCCGTGCAAGATCTCCAGCCGTTTCGCACATGTAGTCTTGACACGCCCCCGTGTCACGTTTCATGTGTCGCGTCGCGAGGTTTCTGGGTTTGTGGCACGAGCAGGAGGAGGGAGGAGGAAAGGAGGGAGAAGGGACGAACAGGGCGTAGGGGAGGACGTGGTGAACTTCCTCTGCTGGGCCTCCGAACCGGGCCACGACGACCGCAAGCTCATGGGTCTCAAGGCGATGTCCGCCTGCATGGTGCGCCCGCGTCCCGTCCTTCTGGGGCCCAGAGAGAACTGGAGCCTGGAGGATGAGGAGGAGGATGAGGAGGAGAAGCAGGAGGGGGAAGGATGAGAACGACGAGGCTTCGGAAAGATGGTGGGGAGGAGGAGGAGGAGGAGGAGGAGGAGGAGGGAGGAGGAGGAGGAGAGGAGGAGGGAGGAGGAGGAGAGGAGATTCCGATGGGGGACGAGAAGGAGGAAGAGGAGAAGGAGGAGGAGAAGGAGGAGGAGGAGGAGGAGGAGAAAGAGGAGGAGGAGAAGGAGGTTGAGGTGGAGGAGGAGGAGGAGGCGAAGGAGGAAGAGGAGGAGGAGCGGGAGGCGCAGGAGGAGGAGGAGAAGCAGGAGGATGAGAGGAGGAGGAGGAGGAGGAGGAGGAGGACGGGAATGTACTAGCTTGTACCTCCCTCTTGCCGCCTCAAGCTGATGCTGCTGCTTCTTCCTCCAGCGTATTCAGCGCCGCTCCGTCAGGGCCTCGCTTCTGGTAAAGCCTCGATTTGCTGGGTGCTCGCTCCGCCGGGGCTCGCCTCGCCAAGGGCTCGCTTTGCTTTGCTGTAGGCTCGCTTCTCCAGCGGAGGGGGAGAAGAGGGATAAGGACAGGGGACGAAGCGGATGATAGATGATGATGATGATGATGATGATGATGATGATGATGATGATGATGATGATGATGATGATGATGATGATGATGATGATGAAGATGATGTTGATGTTGATGTTGATGTTGATGCTGCTGATGATGATGATGCTGGTGACGATGCTGATGGTGATGATGATGATGCTGCTGATGGTGTTGCTGACGATGATGGTGACGATGGTGATGATGATGGTGATGACGATAATGATTATGCTGCTGCTAATGATGATGATGATTACGATGGCGATGCTGATGATGCTGATTGTGATGATGATGATGATGATGCTGGTGATGCTGATGATGATGGTGATTATAATGCTGATGTTGAGCATGGTGATCATGATGATGATGATGCTGATGATCATGATGATGATGCTGATGATTATGATGAAGATGGTGGTGATGGTGATGGTGGTGGTGGTGGTGATGGTAACGGTAACGATAATGTTGATGAGTATGATAATGATGTTGGTGGTGCTGATGATGGTGTTTGTGGTGATGTTGACGGTGATGGTGATGGTGGTGGTGATGGTGCTGATGATGAGGACGACGCTACCGATGATGATGCTGACGTTAACAATGATTATGATGATTCTGATCATGATGCTGATGATGATGCTGATCTTGAGTATAGCGGTGATTATGATGATGCTGATGATGGTGATGCTGCTGAGTGTGGTGATGGTGGTGGTGGTGATGGTGATGTTGCTGATGATGATGATGCCGATGCTGATGCTGATGGCGATGATGATAGTGTGGATGACGATGAGAAGAAATATGATGAGGATTAAGATGATGAAGGGAATGCTGATGCTGTTGATGATGACGGATATGATGACGATGCTGCTGATGTTGCTGACGATGTTGCTGATGATGATGGTGATGATCATGATAATGATGTTGATGATGATGATGAGGATGCTGGTCATGAGTATGGCGATCATTCTGATGATGCCGATGATGACGCTGCTGATGGTGGTGATGGTGGTGATGGTGATGGTGATGCTGTTGATGATGATGCTGATGCTGATGTTGATGCTGATAGTGTGGATGTTGACGAGGAGAAAGATGATGAGGATTAAGATGAGAAGCAGGATGAGGATGCTGATGATGATGAGGATGATGATGATGAACATGATGATGATGCTGGTTATGCCGCCCATGATGTTGCTGATGATGCTGCTGATGATGATAGCGACAATGATGACGACGATGATGAGTATGATGATGCTAATGATTACGAGGGTGACGATGGTGCTCATGATGATGATGCTGGTTATGCTGATGATGATGATGCTGATGATGATGCCGATGCTGATGATGATGATTATGATGATGCTGGTGATCATGGTGATGATGATGAGGATGATGATGATGATACTGAGGATGAGGATGAGGATGATGATGCTGATGATGCTGATGATGATGATGGTGAGCACAGTACCCGCAAGACGACCAGAGGGGTCGAACACATTGATGAGAGGGCCCCTCCCGTCACCTCCACATGTACCTAATATGGCCCCCATTTCTTGTTCATGGTCGGCTTGATGTCCAACGATCTCCTGGCGCAGACACAAACGACGAACACGTTCTTCAAGCTCGATCGGAAACAGACGCCACCATAATTCTCAACGTTTGTAAGCGAACGTGGGTGACCCCCCCCTTCATGGTTACAGGCCGCATCTCGCGTGGCTGTGTGTGCACAGCTGGCAACCACACTCGTAGTCTTACAAACATCCGCATTCGAAGGTACATACGCCTCCAGTCCAGCCGGGGCGGTTTTACATATGTTGCGGAGCATGCAGCGTGGAACCTGTGATCGCCAGAAGCTACCAAGCGGATGCCAAGTGAATGCCACGCAGCTCGTATAGCAGCCAATCGTACAGAGAAATCCTTCGAAAAGGTGAGTGACGACGGCCCCACCATTGACCCAAGACTCTTGACAAGCTGCAGTGGTTTCCAAGGAAATCGCACCTCCCCAGTACGTATCACCCGATAAGCGGGACCAACACCTCGTCCGGAGAAACCAAGTAGCGTATCTTGTTGAGTCAAGTTCTGACGGTGCCCAGTGAATGTTCCAAGGCGGAGATGAACAACAACGGATCGCCCAGAGGCGACATCTATCGGGGAGTGGGGGAGGGGGAGGAGGACCAGAGCAGATCCAATATGTATTAACGACATTCCGTCCCAAGTTCCTTCCTCCTCAGACCCTTGAGGTTAGTTTTTTTCAGTGCGCGGAGCGCACCCCTTGAAAGACTGGCGCCCCATGGGCCCGCAATTCATGCGGGATCTCCGTTTTGAGAGAAGCTGTCTCGATCCTTGATGGTACAAGGCAAGGCCTACACTACGTCGGGCCCTCCTCAAGATCCCGGGTGAACATTGCCGGGGGACGACGGGTGCCACGAGGAGTGATAAGAACAGGTGGTCTCTCATTTTTAAAGGGCCGTCACCCGAAGCACAACGGTGCTACGTTGACGGCAGACATCCTCGTTTTCGGGTGATCTTGATGGCAGGGGGCGGTCCGTGTGAAAAAAAGCCGAGGTGGGACTTCAAAGCTCAAGGAAGTGCCCCTGGAATTTCCTCTTGTAGGGAGTAGCGAGCCCTCCATCCGTGTAACTGTGACGGCACAGTGTTACTCCATGGTAGTAAGTGCTGCGGAGCCATCCCGTGAGAGCTCAAGTGTGATAAGCAATCGTCATCCATCCGTGTAATTGTTGTTTTTGTATTGTGGTCGCAAAGCGTCCCGGTGGGGATCGGAAGGACCCGATATCCCAATATCTCGATGTCGGGGGCGGGCCGGGCGGAGGCTCGATGTCTCGATCTCTCGATATTTGGGGCGGGGCTACGCGGATACTCGATATTCCGACGTCTCGATATCGGGGGTGGAGCCTGGCGGAGGCTCGACATCTCGACGTCTCGATGTCGGGGGCGGGGCCGAGCGGGCACTCGATATCTCGATATCTTGATATCTCGATCTCGGCGGTGGGCCAAGCGGGGACTCGACATCTCCATGGCGCGGGTGTCTGTTTTATGTTAACCGTGGCTTGTCGTGTCCGCCGCGTTGCCCACTGCATGCGGAGGCCGAGATATCGAGGAGGGTAACGAAGGTTTTGCCGCACGGCGTCCTTCACTCTCGTCGCTCTCTGATCGTGCCCCGCCCTCCCCCATCCTTTGCCCAGCCGGCCGTGGTCGTAAAACAAGGGGGCGAGGAGGAGGAGGAGGAGGAGGAGGAGGAGGAGGAGGAGGAGGAGGAGACCGTGGCCTGAAGCAGGAGTAGGAGGAGACCGTGGCCTGAGGCCTGATTTCTGAAGGTCGGCAGGCGGAGGAGGAGGACATGGGAAAGGAAGAGAAGGAGGAGGAGCAGGAGGCGGGGGAGGAGGAAGAGGAGGAGGAGGAGGAGGAGGAGGAGGAGGAGGAGGCCGTCGCTTGAAGCAGGCGCCGCGCCAAAACAGTCACCCGAGGCGTTAGGTGACTGGTTGGAGCAGGAGTGTTTTGTTGAGGTCGGCAGGAGGAGAAACCAGAGGAGGAACTTGAGGAGGATGACGCGGCGGAGGGCTAGGAGGAGGAGGAGCAGGAGCAGGAGCAGGAGCAGGAGGCCCCCCATGAATTCGAGCCCGATTTTTTCCTCACCCGAATATTGTCCTCGTCTTGGTTTCGTCTTAGTTGGGGCAGCCGCCCGCGTTTCGAGGGGAGCACTTCTTTCTTGGCCGCGGACCCGGCGCCACGCACGTGCAGGTCGGTCGGGCAGCTCAGGGGCGCTGAGCGGCCAATGGAGCACCGTCTGGAGAAGAAGCGCGCTGACCACAACCACGATGCCGCAGAAGCTTGCGGCCACGCGCAGAAGGGGGTAGGGTGTAGGGGGGACGGCTTCTTCGAAGCACCCCTGTTTCTTAGAGGGCGCGGGCCTTCCCTGTAGGCGTGGGGCCGCTGCGCCTTCTGAAAAGCAGCCTCTTTGCAAGAAGCCTTCCCCTCTCTCCATACCCCCTTGTGCGCGCCGCCAAGTCGGGAGAAGAAACGCGCTGACCACGACCACGATGCCGCAGGATCTTGACGAGGCCGACCTTGGTCGGCCGCCGCCGATTCGCGAGGGTGATCCACGAATCGACGGGGACCGAGATGGACGGTGGCCAAGATCGGCGCCGACGTGTCTGCGCTCAGCCTCGCGACCACGATGCCGCAGGATCTCGTCGAGGCCTTCGCCGATTCGCGAGGGCGCTCCACGAATCAGCGGGGACCGAGACCGACGGTGGCCAGGAGCGGCGCCTCTTTGCAAGAAGCCTCTCCTCTCTTTCTGTGAGGCCTCTGTCTGAGAAGCCTCTCCCTGAGAAGCCCTGGTCGGCCGTCGCCGATCTCGCGAGGGCGATCCTCGTATCGACGGGGACCGAGATGGACGGTGGCCACGATCGGCGCGGACGTGTCTGCGCTCGGCCTCGGCCGTGGCCCTCCACTCGTGCTGGCTCACCCCGCGCCCCTGCCGCCGCCGCTCCCCCTCATCGCCACCCTCCCCTCCTCCTCATCCTCCTCCTCCTCCCCGTCCTCCTCCTCCTCCTCCTTCCTCCTTTTCCTCCCTTTCCTCCTCCTCCTCCTCTTCTTCCTCCTCCTCCTTCCCTCCTCTTCCTCCTCCTCCTCCTCCTCCTTCCCTCCTCCTCCTCTTCTTCCTCCTCCTCCTCCTCCTCCTCCTCCATTCCTTCTCCTTATAGATAGCTTCTCCCTGTCGCACCCGAGGCCAGTTTTTAGGGCGGGCCGGGCGTTTCGCCCAGACTTCCTCACCATTTATGTCTTCGAAGCTAAACAGGTGACAACAGTTTCACAGATGGAGGGCGGGTTGTTTTCGGAATGTGGCTTTCGCCTTAGCGCCGCGCACATTCATTCTAAAAACTGGCAAGAGCTTCATGGATTGAGGGCGGGTGGTTTTCAAGCGCCGCGCACCTTCGTAACAAGAGTTTCGCGGACTGAGGGCGGTTCCTCTTCAAAATGTGGCTCTCGCCTCAGCGCCGCGCGCCTTCGTCTTTAAAATGTACAAGAGTTTTACGGCTTGAGGGCGGGCGGTTTTCAACATGTGGTTCTCGCCTTAGCGCCGCGCCCTTTCGTCTTTAAAAGTTTACAGAAGTTTCACGGCTTGAGGGCTGGTGGTTTTCAAAATGTGGTTCTCGCTTCAGCGTTGCGCACCTTCGTCTTTACAATTTGCAAGTGTTTCTCGGATTGAGGGCGGTTCCTTTTCAAAATGTGGCCCTCGCCTTAGCGCCGCGCACATTCATCTCTACACTTTGCAAGGGTTTGACGGATTCCCATGATCAGCGTACCAAGCATGGTGTTTTGGAAGGATTCAGGATTATGCGGGCGCAACAGTTATGTTGATTCGCTGTGTTGAAGTCCAAAAAATGGCGTTCTGTTACGATTCTTGATCGTCAAGACGCAGCAGTCAGGTTGATACGTGGCGTTGAAATCCCGAGAACAATGTTTTGGCACGCTTCAGGATCGTCAAACGGTTGTCTTCCAACAAGGAAGTTCCCTCAATGGTAATGAACCGCTGTAGGGGCCTATGAAGAGGGAGCCTGGAGGGAGGGTGAATTCTAACATCTTTGATGACTCTTGGGTTTCCACCGGTCCTCCTCCTCCTCCTCCTCCTCCTCCTCCCCGTGCTCCGCCCTCCTCAGCTGGGCGTCGTCGTGAGCGGCATGTGGTACCGCTCCGCCTGGATCGGGTACAAGACCCGCCGCATCGACTTCACCAAGGCCGTGATGTGAGGGCGCCCCGTGCAGGGCTCGTTTCGATCCCTCTGGTTCGATTCGATTCGATTTCGATGGATTCCAGCTCCGATTTCGATTTCGATTTCGGATTCCGATTGGGATCCGATTTCCCAATCGATTCGACGGAATCCGATTGGGATCTGATTTCGATGGGCTCGATTCGATTTCGATAGATTTTGATGGATTTCGACTCCTTCGATTCGATTTCGGATTCCGATTGGGATCCGATTTCCCAATAGAGGCCTAGTAGCCAGCCGATGTCTGCCGATTCGACTTTTCCCGGCCCATCTGCCGATTCTCGTCGATCCGGTTCATTTCGATCGCCGATCCGACGTATCGACTCGATTCTGGGCTCACCTGCCCACCCCCGCGGCGTCTCGCCGCGCGAGAGCCCGCCGGAGTCTCTTGCTTCACCCCCCTCCTGCCCGGCGTGGGCTGCCCGTCCCCGCGCCCCAAGCCTGAGCTCGTCTCTTCCTCGGGGCAGTTCCCCCGCGTCCCCTTCCTATTTTTGCATATTTCGCCCAAGCTCCGCCTGTAGGAGGACCTGGCCGACCTAAGATTAAGGTGTTCTACCATACGAACCCTTGCTAAGCCGGCATCGGGGATACATAGTTGCTTACTTTCTGGATGCAGTCTGGCGTCCTCCTGGGATGCCAGTGGAGCGGGACCCTCTTTCTCTTCTCTGTTGGTCCTTTTCCCCCGCGACCCCGCACTCCACCTCCCTCGTCCTGTGCGAGCCTGTGCCGACGACATCGGTGTGCTCGTGCGGAACATGGGCGGACACGTCCATCTCGGGAGAGTGTTCCGTCTGGCCAAGACGCCTGCTGCTCTCTCACTCTCTCTCGCTCTCTCCGCCTGGACTGGGCAGAATGTGCTGCTGCTCCTCTCTGGGCCTCTCGGGGGGATCCGGGGAGGCCCGTGCCTGCCTCCGCTCTCGCCCTCGAGAGCGCCGACGACGAATCCAACGACAACGATCTCAGCGGTTAACATCAACGATAACAACGATAACCACGACAACGATCGTTGTGACCATTGTGTTCGCTGTTATCGTGGTTGTCGTTGTTATCGTTCTGATCGTTGTGAGTGAATCCAAGGCTGCGGGTCAGACTCCGTGCTCTTGGGCTGGGTTGATCTTGTTAGGCCTTGGGTGTGGCCGTGGTGCCGCTCCGCGTCCGCTGCCAGGCTGCCCAAGCACGGGCTGCCCGCGTCGGCCACTCCTGACGAAGTTCTTCGTACAGTCAGTGCCCTCCCTCTTCCTCTCGCCCTCCGTTGCCGCTCTCCAGTAGATGGACAATCTGTTCGAACCCTTACACATTCGAGGGATGTTCTAAACCACCCTCACGCCCCCGACATCAATGCTGTTCTCAGTTAATGCGGTGCTTTGGGGTTCGAGCATCTCTATCCACTCACGCCCCCCCCGTCGCCACGCTATCAATATTAATTTCGGGGGGTCTGGCGGGCATCTTGGGGCACACGGTTCGAATATAATGTCCATGTACGGTCCCGCCCCTTCCCCTCTCTTGCAGCCCGACAATTAGTGTGTACCCGAGCCTAGGCCACTAGAGCACGCGTGCGGATCGCCTCTGCCGCTCTGCGACAACAAAACGCTGGGAGGCCTCGAGGATACATCGGGCGAGGCTAAAGCTCGATCCTCCTTCTCCTTCTCCTCTTCCTCCTCCTCCTCCTCCTCCTCCTAGTCCTCCTCGCCACTGCGACGAGCGGAGAACGCCCCTTTGGGCGCTCCTCTGCTGCCGGCTCCTCCGCTGTCGCTCTCTGCTGTCGGCAGTCCTCGCGGAGCTCTGCATGCAGCTCCTGTTCAGGCATGTGGTGAGCGGGTGCATTCTGCTTGTCCGACAGAGTGCAGCTCGTTCGCCTCTCTTGGTCCCAGCGCGTGTTCGAGAAGAGGCTGCTTCCTGGATCGTTCCGTGCGCAGTTCCGCTTCTTCGGGAGAGCGGGCTGGTCCAGGATCGAGGAGCGGAGCTCTCCCCGGCCGCACAGTTGCCTTGTTCAGAATGCCGCGCCTCTCGTGCGAAGCGCCCTCGTCACAGGCGACGCGTGGCAGCATGTCCTGGCCCGTCTCCGCACGCGCAGGCGCTCGGATGGCGCCTTCCCGTGATGGACCTCGTCCGTCTTGCAATGGGATGGTCTGTTCTTTCGCCTCCGATGCGCTCGTGCTGTCGCTTCCTTTCACCCCTGCTTGTGTGATTGCATCCTAAGTGCCGTATGCTCTTGGGCGAAGTGCCGGATAGCGCGATTCGACCTTTGTTCCCCCCCGTTCTGGTTCTCGCCTGCTTTTTCTGCTGTGCTTGAAGATGCCGCTCTCTGCTTCCCATCCTGCCATCATTTAAGTTCTGGTGGCGCGGAACCGTCGGCGCGCTCTTCAGGAATCCCCGAAGATGTCCTTGCGGAGCCGCAAATAAATCGCGCTGGCCGAGTCGTTTTGCGAGGACGCTCGTGTCAAATGTGTCCGCGGCTCCGGTCGAACCCGTCATTTCCCAAAAGGGTCGAACCTGGCGTTGGGGTTAGGCATAGACTCCAGCCCGACGGTTGGGCTGCCGTGCGCTCGGTTTTTGATGACATCCCTGAGGCTTGGGCGTTCATTGTGTTAGGAACCTGGCCGGGCGGCTGGACTACAGGGGCCCGACTTCAGAGGGAAGGCGGCTGCATGTTCGGCTGCCGCGGGGCGAAGAATCGTCTCATTCATTACGGCCACTCTTTCTTTGGGCCTCTCGCTCTATGCACAACCCATTCCCTGTAACGTTCTCTGTCTGCTGGGTCTCCATGGACATAAGTTTGCATGTACCGTTTCACGTTGCCATGCGGATCGCATCGTAACCGCACGGCTGACCCTCTTCAGCGCTCTCACTCTTTTGCCGATGCCGCGTCTCTTCTTGGGGCCATCGCCGTGGCAGTGAAGGCTCCTCTCAGGGGTGCCCAGTAGACGAAGCTCCTGGACAAATGATCTCTTGTTACCACCATCGCGGCAGCAGCTCAGGCTGTTTGTGCGGAGGTTGATTGCAATGGGGCACGGGCTTAAGTGGCCAAGGGGAAGATTTAATTTCATTATCCGTTCTATTTCGCTCCAGTCTGCACGGGCTCGCACTCATGGGCCCCGGGCCCGGCTCTCTGGTGGCTCTCGCGGCCGCCGGGCATTCTGGGCTGGTGACGCTGGGGCCCTGGGCTGCGGCGCCAGCACAGTAGTAGTAGTAGTAGTAGTAGTAGTAGTAGTTGTTGTAGTAGTAGTAGTAGTAGTGGTAGTGGTAGGAGTAGTTATAGTAGTAGTACTAGTAGTAGTACTAGTAGTAGTAGTAGTAGTAGTAGTAGTAGTAGTAGTAGTAGTAGTAGTAGTAGTAGTAGTAGTAGTAGTAGTAGTAGTAGTAGTAGTAGTAGTGTAGTAGTAGTAGTAGTAGTAGTAGTAGTAGTAGTAGTAGTAGTAGTAGTAGTAGTAGTAGTAGTAGTAGTA